AATTCTCGTTACTTCCGGCTCATCCTACTGTCGGCAGTTGTTAAGAAATGATTGTTATGGTGATGAGTTGCAGGGGTATTTTCCTGGAAGTCAATCATCTGAGATGCAATTGGGTTACGTAATACCCTCTTCAATTTCTGCTCTTGTTTTCAACTCCATTATACTGAGCTTAAGTACAACTACGAGGAAAAAATTGTAATTAATGCTACACCAATCAGCCAGGAAAGCTCAGAAAGCTTGTCGCTAAACAAACAAGCATTAGTGATCATTTGCTTGGCCAATTATTAGTGCCTTTCACAACAGAAGGATTGAGTGGCATAAAAACAGAGCCCCTTTTCTTTATCACAGCCTTGGGCGTAAAGCATGATATTAACGGGAATAAAACGTGGTGACAAATAAATAAAGGAATAAACACTGTCAAATCGACTGGTAAAGGCAGTTGAGAAAAAACAAGTTTTGGCTTTTAGCTTATCCCAGTCCCTGATTGTATCTTGTCGCCTTCGCCATTAATGTGGCTGAGAATGGTACAAACTTGGATTTAGTGACCATTTGTGAACTCTCCACTCATTTCCAGGCACAAATTCAGTTCAGAGTAGCTGTATAAGAAACTTCAAAACGGTAATTTTTTCCAACAGAAACACTGAATAAACGGACAGGGATGCTCGCAAACTCTGAGTCACGTTTTGAATTTTGTTGTCATATCAATGGAATTAAAAGAAGACAGAGGTTGAAATTACATGCAATTTGCTTCCATGGATTTGTTATTAGGTCAAAAACCTTTAGTTAATTCTTAAAAGGGAAATACCACATGTGTTTCCTGAACAAAGCTAGTTGGCATTATATAAATTCAAGGAGTTGTTGGCAGAATGTAAATCCATTATTAGCATTATAACTAGTCCTTTACATCTTTCTACGAATACGATATTCATCTGAACACCCACAGCTCTTTCTTTATAAAGAAGTGATTAGGTGGTTGTGGTCATCAAAGCAGGTAATGATGATTTCCTCCCAGACAAGGACAAGTTTTGAGGACTTGGACAATTTGATTAGTGGAACGCAAGAGTACATCAAACTTTCACATCCATTTTTACTTTATTAACATACGGATGTGGCCATAAATGTAAGTTGATCTAAAAAAGCGGAACTAGGTAACGTCTAATTCAAGAATTCCGATCTTGCATGAAATATTCGTTATATCAAACAAAATTTTGAAGTTACACGTGAAGTTATCTAAGATGAGCAATGCAACTATGATATTAGTAAAGCTGGCTTTTTTAGGCAATGCCATGTTATTTATGTTAAGGCATTCTCCTCGACATGTTATAGAGATCTTACCATTGAGCTCAAACAGAAAGGAATCTTGTTTGGTAGTCTTCTAAGAACATGCCTATTCATTACACTTACCGTATCTCCACAGTATGACGCTACCGAACGGAACAAAAATACTACTCAAGTTCACTTATCCGATGACGTTTACGCATGCCTGCAGACTACATCCTTGAGTTGAT